TCTGCCAACAGCGGCCAACCCTAGGGACCCCGGAGGGGATGGACTGAAGACAGTGACCAATCCATTTGTCTCGTGCCATCCCTCTCCAGCCTTCCACAAACTTTGGGCAGGGACACCACTCCTACCCCCTGGCTAAGACTACTCCATGGACCCAACCTCCATGACTTGATCTCACTTCCCTTTAAACTCTGTTCTAGTTGTAGCCTTCACAGCCTCCTGCAGCAAGGAGTTTCGCAGGTTAACTATTTGCTTTGTGAAGAAGAACAACTTTCTCTTACTAGTTTGAAGCCTGCTACCCATTCCTTTCCTTTGGTGTCCTCTAGTCCTTCTTTATGGGAACTCAGGAAGAACTTTTCTGAATGCACCCTCTCCACCCAACCCCTGCTTTTAGAGACCTCTATCCTGTCCCCTCTCCGTCTCCTCTTTTCTAAGCTGAACAGTCCCAGTCTCTGTAGCCTCTCTTCATCTGGGGCCTGTTCCCAACCCCTGATCATGTTAGTTGCCCTCCCCTCTCCCAGCCTTTCTCTTCCCCTCTCCCACCTCCTTTTCCCAGTCTCCCCCAGTTTTGTTCAATAAAGACAGAGTCAATGTTGGAAGAAACGTTATCTTTATTTTGTACATCAATAAGAAGGGGGGCTAGGGAAGGGTAAGTGGAAGGAGGTGAGGGAGGAATGGGGTACGAGCCCCCGATGGGGAGGACTGGGCTGGCTCTGCGGGCTTCTGGGGGTGGAAGCTCTCCTGCAGCCCCCCAATTACCTCCTCTCCCCAGATGGCAGCCTGCGGCAAGTGCAGCCGGGCTGATGGCCGAGTGGTGTGATGTGCCCAGTGTGGGTACTCCGGGCACTCCAAGCCAGAACTTCTTTGCAAGCGGGGCACCCCTTAGAACTGTCTGTCCGGGGTGGGGGTCGGGACCCTTTAAGCGCAGCCCTCGGCTAGCCTGAGACAGCATCTCCACGCTCTAAGTCCTCCTCTGATGCCCTGCTGGCACTGCTTCCGGCCATCCTTAAGCCCTGTTCAGAGTCCACTCAATGTGGACTTGCTAGTTCGAATTAGCAAAACGCTAATTCGAACTAGTTTTTAGTTCTAGATGCGTTAGTTCGAATTAGCTTAGTTCGAATTAACTAATTCGAATGATTAACTAATTCGAACTAAGTTAGTTCGAACTAGCGCTGTAGTGTAGACATACCCAGAGTGAGAAGACTGGAGGGAGGCCCAATACTGGGTTTGTTTTTTGTATAAGAATATTTCAGGGATAAAACCCTCCAGTCTCTCTGAGGGAAAGGATAATTAGCTGGTAGGTTGGACTCCACCTAAGAAAACACTGATGAGAGAGATTTCTTCCACATGGAGAGACCTGATGGTTGGTGGCATGTGAAAGGTCCACAAGGGGTGCCTCTGCATGCCATACTACCACATTGTAAATAAATAAGATTTCCTATACAACAACACTAGTTCTTAGAAAATGCTAAAAATAAGAGAAAATGGCTTTAAAATCCCTTTAACTAAGCATGAGAAATATAGACGAACAATTTTTGGAAATGAAACTGTCGTTTCGTGGCGACTTGCTCTAGACTAAAGAATTTGCCCTACACCAACACCATTATAGCTTAGGTACCTGTGAACTAGGAAATTGCTACCTTATCACAAGTATGAATGAGAACCAGGAGGAAGAAGGGGTTGCCCTTCTTCTCTGGCACACTCTGAAAGCAGAATAGCACAGCCATGTGTCCTTCAAGTTATGAATGTAGCAGGAGTGGTGACTTCCTCCCTCCTGTGGTGCACAGTGTTAACAATATATCCCAGTCCTGCTACTAAACTCAGAGAAGATACAAACACACAGAAAATGCAAGATTCCGAATAACACAAAACAATGATGCTTGCACTACTTTCCACAGGCTGGACAAGTAGACAGCACACACTTCCCACAAGATAGCCTTTCCTAGCTAATCCCTAGGTTTCCTGCCCTGTCCATAGGCAGAGGTGCATGAAACAATTTTTACAGTCAGGGTGCTGAGCTACACTCCCATTACTCTGTCCACACTCATTATTGCCCCAGGTTGGGGCCACAGCTGGGGGTAGCTGTGGAGCCACAATCCATGACCTGGAGTGCTGGCAGTAGGACTGGCAGCCAGAATGCCAGGCAGCGGCAATGGGGCCAATGGCTGGGACCCTGCATAAGGGGCCAGTAGCTGAGACTCTGAGGCCAGCGGTGAGGCCCTTGGGCATAGAGGTGGAACCTTAGGTAGCAGTGGCTACATGCGGCAGGGGCTAGGTAGTTCAGACTAAAGCCCATAATTCGGACTACCGTTACTCCTCTTGCAAAGAACTACTGGGCATTTAAAAATGGCAGCGCCTGCCAACATGCAAATAAAGCATGGGATATTTAAATCCTGGGCTTCATTTGAAAGTTCGAATGACTACATTAGCCACCCTAGTTCGAACTAGGGTGGCTAATGCATACCCTTAGAGTATTTCTTCAACCCCCACCTTCCTAAAACCAATCCAGAAGCCTTCCTTTTTTATATTTACCATAATTCAGCTTTTTTAAAAGTCACATGTAGTAGTATACAGAGGTGAATCTGCCAATAATAGCACTGAGCGTAAAGCAATATTTTCACTCTATTCTTTATCCAAAGCGTCTGCTGACCTCTTGATCTTACTTCTAATCCTGTCTACTATCCTCCCACTCAATGACCTAGTTGAAGTATCAGTTCCATAAGTAAGAAACCAGACAACAAGTAATTCTCTGAGAATATTTTCCAAAGCAGAGTTTATTGTTCTCCCATGCAATTATGCTAGATGTTTACTAGATTCAGAGCCACACTGGAAGAATGCAAAGAATTTATTTTGAGAGCAGCAATTTTCTCCCATGTGTGACTTTGTTTTCAGATGGTGCAAATGCTTGTTTTTGTTTTAAAAAAATTATCAGCTAAGCAGCATTTATATATGCAATCAATCCCGGAAAATAAAGCAACTTACCTGTTCATAGGTATTCTTCTGAAATTGCTCAAACCCAAAGATATCCAATATTCCAATTTCAAATACCTGGTCACTGAAACAAGAAGACAGTACAGCTTATAGGTATTTAAGCAATTGAAAAATGTATAGCTCCTGTCTTGTTCTAGCTTGCAAGTACTCCATACACAACAAGGGTATGTCTACACTACAGCAGTAATTCGAACTAAATTAGTTAATTCGAACTAAGCTAATTCGAACTAACGCATCTAGTTGACTCTTTGCTTTGTGAAGAAGAACTTTCAGTTATTAGTTTGAAGCCTGCTACCCATTCATTTCATTTGGTGTCCTCAAGTCCTTCTATTATGGGAACTAATGAAGAACTTTTCTGCATGCACCCTTTCCACACCTCTCATACTTTTAGAGACCTCTATCATATCCCCCCTCCGTCTCCTCTTTTCTAAGCTGAAAAGACCCAGTCCCTTTAGCCTCTCTTCATATGGGACCTGTTCCAAACCCCTGATCATTTTAGTTGCCCTCCCCTCTCCCATCCTCTCTCTTCCCCTCTCCCACCTTCTTTTCCCAGTTTCCCCGAGTTTTGTTCAATAAAGACAGATTCTATTTTTGAACACATGTGTCCTTTATTTTGTACATCAGGAAGGGGGGCTAGGGAGGGGTAAGTGGAAGGAGGTGAGGGAGGAATGGGGTACGAGCCCCCGATGGGGAGGACTGGGCTGGCTTTGTGGGCTCCTCAGGGTGGAAACTCTCCTGAAGCCCCTTGATTGACCCCCCCTCCGGATGGCAGCCTGCGGCAAGTGCAGCCGGGCTGATGGCCGAGTGCTGTGATGTGCCCAGTGTGGGGACTCAGGGCACTCCACGCCAGGACTGCTTTGCAAGCGGGGAACCCCTGAGTACTGTCTGTCCGGGGTGGGGGTCGGGTTCCTTTAAGCACAGCCCTCGGCTAGCCTGAGGCAGCAGCTTCACGCTCTAAGTCCTAATCTGATGCCCTGCTGGCACTGCTTCCGGCCATCCTTAACCTCAGTTCAGGGTCCACTCAGTGTGGACATGCTAGTTCGAATTAGCGTTTCGCTAATTCGAACTAGCATGTCCACACTGAGTGGACCCTGAACTGAGGTTAAGGATGGCCGGAAGCAGTGCCAGCAGGGCATCAGATTAGGACTTAGAGCGTGAAGCTGCTGCCTCAGGCTAGCCGAGGGCTGTGCTTAAAGGAACCCGACCCCCACCCCGGACAGACAGTACTCAGGGGTTCCCCGCTTGCAAAGCAGTCCTGGCGTGGAGTGCCCTGAGTGCCCACACTGGGCACATCACAGCACTCGGCCATCAGCCCGGCTGCACTTGCCGCAGGCTGCCATCCGGAGGGGGGGTCAATCAAGGGGCTTCAGGAGAGTTTCCACCCTGAGGAGCCCACAAAGCCAGCCCAGTCCTCCCCATCGGGGGCTCGTACCCCATTCCTCCCTCACCTCCTTCCACTTACCCCTCCCTAGCCCCCCTTCCTGATGTACAAAATAAAGGACACATGTGTTCAAAAATAGAATCTGTCTTTATTGAACAAAACTCGGGGAAACTGGGAAAAGAAGGTGGGAGAGGGGAAGAGAGAGGATGGGAGAGGGGAGGGCAACTAAAATGATCAGGGGTTTGGAACAGGTCCCATATGAAGAGAGGCTAAAGGGACTGAGTCTTTTCAGCTTAGAAAAGAGGAGACGGAGGGGGATATGATAGAGGTCTCTAAAAGTATGAGAGGTGTGGAAAGGGTGCATGCAGAAAAGTTCTTCATTAGTTCCCATAATAGAAGGACTTGAGGACACCAAATGAAATGAATGGGTAGCAGGCTTCAAACTAATAACTGAAAGTTCTTCTTCACAAAGCAAAGAGTCAACTAGATGCGTTAGTTCGAATTAACTAATTTAGTTCGAATTACTGCTGTAGTGTAGACATACCCTTACATACTTAGCATGTTATCATTTTAGTAAACACATTTGAAAGTTGGATAGATGCTGGAATGGCTATATTAGTTGTGGATTGGCAAACATCCTTTGATTTATCTTTTCAGTATTTGCAAAAAGATAGACTCTCCTATGCCTTTCTCTCAGTTAATCTATACACAGTATTGTCCAAAATGTACCCTATTTCTAGCAAAATGCAGGACAATGTAGCACTTTAAAGACTAACAAGATGGTTTATTAGATGATGAGCTTTCGTGGGCCAGACCCACTTCCTCAGATCAGGTTTTCAACAATGCACCCTACAGGCAACTACATATAATAAACACAAGGATCACTACACCAACCTTCACAGATCCAGTAATAATCCGAAACATGAAATCTGTTGTCTACAACCAGGCACTCAGTTACCATAAAATGTAATCCAAGGAGAAAGTCTTAGCTACACATCTTAACATATTTAAAACTACCTTCTCTTAACAAAGAGACTCCACAACTAGTCATCACCTACCACCTTATATGGACTATCATTAAACAATTGCAACCCATACAATGACCATCCTGAAAAAAAATATTTTCCAGACCTCTTCTTCTGACAATGCCCTGCATCATGCCAAAATCATCATCAGAAGTAAAGGCCACATGGACTAGAAAACACCCTCAAAGTAGCACAGATGTTGTTAGAACAGATCCAAAACTTGTAGACGTATCTCCACTGCTATGATGATCAATAACCTCTGCAACACATGTTTCAAAATCCACATGACTATTAGAATATGTGCTTTAACTTATCTAGTGCATTAAATGTCCCAATAACGGTTATGCAGGTGAAATGAAACAATCACTACATGCACAAATGAAGTAACCTAGAAAAATGATAAAAGACAAAAACAGCATATCACATGTAGGCAAACATTTTTCACAAAACAATCAATCCATATCTGATCTCTTGATCCTTGTATTCAAAAGGAAACCTGAACAGTTAAGACAAATCTGAAGCCTTAAAATCATGAACTCAAAGTTTACTATTGGATTTCTTAACCAAATTCATTGTACTGACTCTGCACTGTGGTAAAATAGGCTTAAGTGTGTGGATGCAGTTACTCTGATATACCCACCCTTGTGGCCAGACAAGGTGGCTCTTACAAAAGAGAAAAATCTAATTCCATTTATGTCATGTGACTCAACTGGATTGATGACTCATTACAATGTGAACCCCTCCTTTGTCCTAGGACTATAGAAGAGTTAACTGTTACTTGCACCTTGAATAATGTCTCCCAATATATGCTAACTCCTTTTTCTTAACAATTTGTTCCACCTTGTAGTTATATGTGACATTCTAAGTACCCAGTCAGAATCCAGCATAAGCTAAACACCTTGTTTCTTTCACCAATAAATGTTAGTCCAATAAAAAAAATATTACCTCACCCAGCCTCTGTCTATCAATTCCAAAACAGACTAATTAGATACAATAATTCTTCGCCTCTGCCAGACAGCCTAATACCTACCAATGTAACTTCCTCTCAGAGCAATGCCCTGGTCTTGCTGTCTTTGGTTCACCTCTATGGAACCCATCAGATCCCTTACCGTAATTCTATGTTACTACTAATAGATCCTTGTCATTGCCTCTGGTATTTTCCCTCCAATAAACAAAAGAGTTCTATGACTCCCTTAATCCCAGCAAAGTGGTATGTCCCTAAACAACTGGCCATAATAATGATTGACATAGCCCCATCTGAGGCATCCAATCCAAGGACCATTGCTGTACCTCATATCCACAATATCCATGGACAATATGGTTGTGACTACTTTCTTCCACTATTTGATCTGAGGAAGTGGGTCTGGCCCACGAAAGCTCATCATCTAATAAACCATCTTGTTAGTCTTTAAAGTGCTACATTGTCCTGCATTTTGCTCCATGGACAAAGGAGACTTGAATAGGGTCAGCTGTCTGCAGCAGCATAGTTTTAAGTAAACCATCTTGCAGTTATATTTGGACACACCTGAAAACTACTAAGCCATATACCAAACCATCTTGTAGTCTGACCGGCACAAGATATTTTTGGAGGGTAGAGGTGGCCAGAAACAATTCTTTTTTCCCCAAAAAAATGATGAGGTTGTGAAATTAGTGATAGTTAAAATGTGGAAACTGTTTCTTTCACATCCCAGATGAGTCACCTAACCACTGGGATACTGGCTATTCTTGATAAAAATTCTGTCCATACAGCTATACTTCTATGAAACCTGGAACTATTTGATTTAGACAAAACATCATTTTCTGACATAAAAAAAATTTAGTCAAAAGAATGTGATTGATCTAGTTGAGAGTCTCAGCCCTTGTATCCTTACAGAAGTCATCTCTCTCTCTCTCTGTCTCAATACTCACCATGCAGTAATATGACATAAATGGGACTTTATTTTTCCCCATTTATAAGAGCCAACTTGGCTGGCCACAAAGGTGATTACATCCAAATAACTGAATCTCCTCACCTAAGCCTATCTTCCTATTACCACAGGAAGCCAGTAATATGGATTTGGTTAAGAAATTCAATATTATTAGTATTACAACTACTAATAGAAAATAGTAATTTTGCCCATTAAATTTCAACAGGAAGTGCAACACATGAATTATAATAACATTCTGTAATTGTCTATAAATACTTCACTATATTTGTGTGTGTGCATGTGTGAAATACTTCACTATATTTGTGTGTGTGCATGTGTGTGTGTGTGTGTGTGTGTGTGTGTGTGTGTCCTTATCTCACTCAGACTTTTTCCTCACAAGAGAGCACTGGGACATCCTGCTCAGCTGTCAGTCATGCTAATTCCAGCAAAATTACTTTTCTTAAATTAATCATAACAGAGATTTCCATAGCAAAATAGAAGGAGCTGTTCTCTTATGTTTACAAATCAAGGGAAATTGTCACCAGAAACCTCAAGGAACACATATTTAAAAAAAAGGAATTTTCTTTCTCAAGACTACTTATTGTACTTTACTTTTTTAGGATTGCTCAACAATGTTGACACTTTAACAGTGTAAATACTGAGCCTTCCAAACTTAATGAGAAGTGAAACCAGTATCACAATATAGGAACATTATTCTGAAATAACTTTGCTGTTTAGAAAAATATGTTTG